GAATTAAAACTTTAATTCCAAATACTTTGAATTAATATAACCTATAAGATAAAAGAAATTCTGTCAAAGCATTTCCCTTTCCATTATCACTTTCTATACAGCTGCTGACACCTCCTGGGTAACAAGGAAAATATCATTTTTTAATAACTTAATAGGTTACTATTCTTCCTCTTACTATAACTTTTAAAGTTTTTTTGTACAAAAACAATCTTGGTTCCTAAATAGAAAGCAACTTCCCATGCTTTTGATTTTCATTTTTCTCTTCTGAGTGCTTATGCACACATACATGTAAGTACAGGTGTATATATAAATCCCTTGAATACTAACAACCAAAATTTTTGTATAACAGTTAAGCGGTGGGGGACAGTAATGTCTCTGAAAAGAATTTGAAGAGGATGAAATATAGTTGTATTACATAACCATCATTTGTAATTCTAAGTACTGGATTAAACAGTAAGTACAATCGTGACAATATACATCAAGTACTTAAGACAGTCTGATGAATTACTTGACAATGCAATTCAACTATTTAAAAAGGCTGCATTATCAATGGAACACTAAAATAGAAATTAAATGGAAAGTTTGAGAACACAAGTGCAAATTCTGTTCACCTCTTTAGAAATGGGGAAAAAAATTCAATTCAAACTGGTATACTAAGTCAGAAGGATGTTCAATTTGAAAAACACTGACAAATAAAAATTAAACAATGTTTAAATAAGTCTAGTATAGGATGGATTTTATCTTTTGTCTGTATATACCCAGTAATTATATCGCCTTACACATAGTAGGCATTAATAGAGACTTAGGTTGATTTTTTTTCCCCTTTCTTCTAAGTACTCTTATTGCATATAGCATTTTCACATGCATAAACAATTTTTCAAATAATCAAAAATTAGATTATTAGGGGCTATATGCAGTGTTTCCTATTACATTGTAAATGACTTTTCTATGGTTGTCAGCAGTTTTCCACCTTCCACCCCTCAAATACCATGATGGATAAAAAACTAGTGACTTTTCCTTTGCCCTCCATAAATAGTCCATAGTTGCCTCATTTCCAAGTTTTATTAGTCTGCTAATCTGATGTTGTTCTCCAACTTAGTTCATTCCTCTAATTTAAAACTTTATAAAATCAGCGTTTATTTTAATTGTTTTCAAGGTCTTTGAAAGAAGTAAATGTTTTAAATTTTATCACCATTAGTATTTCTAATATCCCCTTTCCACTTGAAAACTACCTCCACAACAGGGCCAGTACATTATTTTTCTGCTTTTATAACTGTTCCAAATACACTTAGACAGACTCAAGTAATTCTTCAGTCTATAGTAATTTGAACATCTTTCCCTCTTGAAACCATGAACTGCAGTTCTAGGTTGAATCAATCTGACTACTAAGTTCTGACAGTACTACTTACGAATAAATTTCCAGGGACCCAAACTCTGCGTAATATTTTATAGACAATATAATAATGTAAATTAATCCAAAATAAACTTGTTCAAAGTTTTTCTTAAGGGTGCCAAGGTTTCTGACAGTACTACTTACGAACAAATTTCCAGGGACCCAAACTCTGCGTAATATTTTATAGACAATATAATAATGTAAATTAATCCAAAATAAACTTGTTCAAAGTTTTTCTTAAGGGTGCCAAGGTTTTCATAATTAGTTACATAACTGAGTGATTATTATAAAATATATATACTCACAAAACAGCCAAGCTATTTTAAAATTTTAATCATTGGTAATTTTAAGCTTAAAAATTAAAATGCTCTATTGCAAGATTTTTCTATACCAAGTCAAGTAAAATCGCAAAATGCTCCTGGAACTATTTCGTTTATTTATTAAATTCACCATCTTCCTTCACTAATCTTACAAAACCAAAAAAGCATTTTTATCTGCACATATGAAAAACTTGTTTTGGAACAAAGGCAAGAATAAATCCTAACCACAGAGTCTTAACATAAATAATTTGTTTGAAACAATTATTTAAAAAACACATCAAAGGAAACAAGAACTGCCTAAAGTCACATTTAAGTATTTTGGAAGAAAAAAAACACTTTAAGTACTTCAGAAATAGTTAAGCTTGATATGCATAGTATAAGTATATATCAATTTACATTCAAAAAAAATCTATTTGGATTTTGGTTAAGTTTAACATTTCTAACAATTGCAGGAAAGTGTTTATTCCACACTAAGGAAAAGCCCCCTTTCCGGCAGATTTGGGCTGGTCTGATAAAAACAATTTAACTTCCTAGTCATTATGCTGTCCATTTTAAACATGCTTGTTACCATGTAAATGAAATCTTTACACTGGGGATCTGAAGATATAACTCAGAAGAGATTCAAAGTGATACTTAAGGATTAAACTTTACTTATTATTTTAGTAAACATCAGAAGGGAAGATCTCTTTTAAAGATAAATTCGTGGTTTTCAACCTTTAAAATTAAGAGGAAAAAACCTAGTGTTTGCTTCCATTTTCAAATCAGTAAAAATGGGAAAAAAATGGAAAAAAATTTCTCTCAGCTTATTTTCAGCGCCCAAGCTTTTTTTTTTATTTAAAGGGGTAAAAGTTAACAAGCATAGCTAACTGTAAAGCACTGTTTATGATTTAGCAAAAATTAAAAATGCTTAATAGACTGAAAGGCTTTTGAAAATTCACATTAAAATGCAAGTTCTATTAGTATTTTGCTTGTTTCTTGTTATGCAAAATAAAAAATGTTTTCAGAAATATTCCTTAAGTATGGAGATTCCTCATAATTGTGTTCAATATTCTGTTGAAAAGTTTTTAAACTGAGTTTGAACTTAAAACATGAAACCACTAGCAAACAATCACAAAATACTGGTACAACTTTGTCTTAGATCATTTTTATTTCCTTTTACATCTCTTCAACTGCAATGTTGTACTTGATTCATCCTAAAATATAACTCGTGTAAAAGATGCACTATTTCCAGAAAATTCATTCCTGAAATCACATACAATATTTAAATTTGCCAAGGTGAAAATCTCAAGAGACTACTTTAATTCGTCAAAGTGTTTAATGAGTTTTAATAAAATCTTTGCCAACTATCTATATAAAACATTTCATGTCCATGAATAGTGGATTGGATTTTCAAAATTTCAACAAATCAATTTAGAACAAAGATTATGGGAAATCTTATCAATTCTGCAGCTAACATTCCTCAAGAAAAAAAAATAACTAGCGCCCCTTAGTGCTCACATTTGGAAAGACTCAGCTTAAGAGTTCTGAAACTTTTTTTTTTGGACATTCCAGAAAGTTTTCTGCCTCCACAATTCTTCCACTCCACTGCCAACACAAATAGGAAAAAGCAGAAATACTTAAAGGAACAGTTTAATTTTCCAGTACTTCTAAACACTCACAGGTTAGATGATTCTATTTAGAGTGGAAAAAGCCAACTTGAATGTCTGTTTTTAAAAAACAAATTGAAACCCCCCAAAATCTCGGTTATTAGAATGGATTTGTACATTAAATATTGCTAGTAATTCCGTGATTTCCAAGACTACAACGGCCTTTCAGATTCTTCTTTACCCATTTTTATCACCAGGGACATTTCCGGTCTTTTGTTCTTTAGTGACACTCAAAACTGACTGGGTTTCCTCCCATCCCCACACTCCTCAGTAGGATACTTTATATAAATTAAAATAAACTTGAGATATTTCTGAAACTTTAAAAATCCACTGTTCACCTTTGTTATCTATAATTCTGTGTCTCTTTAAACAATTGGTAAAGTTTCTTAATCACCAATCTCTTTGCTACCCAATTTCCATAAAGCATCCAACATCCATCTTCTTTCACCGCGTCCATAAAACTCCACAAGATAAATCAAAGCTCCAAGCTTGCGTCGGCCAGAGCCGTTCTTTGGGTCCCTAACTATGGCTTCTGCTCTCAACCTCAATCCCCCAAACTGCCTGCTGCTTCCTTTCCAGAACCCCCTCCTCTCTCCAGCACGACAACGCCTTCAGGCACATTATTTCCACCTCTCATTTGGCTTTCCTCTCCCCAAAAAGTGAAGTTAAACTCGAATGGTTTTCGTTTCCTCAAATCAAAAAGGACAAAATGCTCAGTTGTCATTTTGTCCTCCCCTTCAGTCAAATCAGCACCTCTCCAGGGGCATTTATGTGTAAGTATAAACAAAGAAACCCCACTTGGTAACTTCTCTTGGAACATTTGCAAGCTCTACAGACTTTAAACTGAATTCCGCCCTAATCTGCCAGGAATTCCACCAGGCAGAGGACGGCATGGGTAAGAACGGGTAGGATCTGTTTCGAGAAGGTTAGGTCAAACTTCCTTTTCTGAAAAGAGGGAAAGGCAAAGGGAACACCAGAGGACACGCGGGGCCCCGCGCCCTCTCCCCCCGCGGTCCGGGGGTCCGGCGCCGGGCTCCGGAGGGGCCACTTCATTGGGGTAAAAGGCTCCGGCTTTAAAGGCACGCCGCCACTACCCTCCTGGTTTTCCCATTTTTCTAAAAATTAGACTCCAAGCCGCAGGGGGCGGGGGGGGGGGAAAGGGGGGGGAATCGGTCATTCGGCCACCGCTTTCCCTTCCCCAAAGCAACCAGGGGGATTGAAAAACAAAAAACCAGGGGTGGACTAACTAGAAAAAGGTGGGGAGCGGCCGGACAGGGCCCCAGCCCCTAGGTCCTCCGAACCAAGTTTTCCACAGCTCCCCAGGAGCTTCCCGAACCCAACCTCCAGGCAGGGCTGTCCTCCGTCAGGCCCCGCACTAGCCCGGGACCCCGGCCCCACCGCCCGGCACTCCAAGGGCCCCGCCCTCCCAAGTGCCCCCCAGACTTTCCCGGAGCTTCGAAGCCGCTCGGGCCAAGCTCCCCGAGGCAGGCAGGACCTGGGCCTCGATCCGCCGCCGTCAGCCTTCGGGGGCGCCGCGCTCTCCCCAAGTCACCCCCAGCCCCGGGGGGCTCAGGAAGAGGCGGCGGTGCCGCCGAGGCACAAACGGGGAACCAGGCTGGGGGGGCGGGGGGAGGCTGTTACCTTCATCCAGCAGCCGCTCGAGGTGGTTGAAGATCCCACAGAAGTTGGGCAGGCTGCTCATGAGCTTCTTGTCGTTCATCAGCTGCATCAGGTAATCTGGGGTCGGCTTGGGCTTCTCCTTCGTTTCCATTTCCCCGACCATATTCCAAGCCCCGCAGCTCACACCGCCCGCCGCCACGGAAGAAAAGGGGGGCACAGGGGGCGGGGGGGCGAGCCCCAAGAAGCCGGGGGCTGCTCCGGGAGGGTCTGCAATCTTCGCCCGCCGCGGGGAAGGAAGAGGACGGGAGGAAGAGGAGGAGGAGGAGGAGACGGGGGGGCAGGGGGGGAAGCCGACTGTCCCCACAGCGCAGGAAACCGAACCGCCCGCTCTGCCCCCCCCACCCCCCGCAGGCACTTTTCCCTCCCGCGGCTGCTGCTCCCACAACGTGGGTCCCGGAGCCGCCGCTGCTCCCGCCGCCTTGTCCTCGTCGTCGTCCTCCTCCTCCTCCCGCCGCTCGCTGCTCCCGGTGCTGCCTCCGCTGCCCAGCTCAGTGCGTCCCCTCACGAGTGCCGGCGGGGTGGGGAGGGGGGAGGAGGGGTTATCTCCGCGGGGCCCCGCTCTGGGCGCCGGGGGAACCGCTTTCGCTGGGAGGAGGAGGAGGAGGAGCCGCTGCTGCCGCCGCCGCCGGGGTTGTGGTTGCTGCTGCCGCCGCTGCTGCTGGGGCTGCTCGGTTTGGTTTCTTTGGGGCTGCTGCTGCCTGCTCCGCCGCCGCCGCCTCTGCCGCGGGCTCGGGGTCTCTCTGGGCTGGTCCCCGACGCTGCCGCCTCTGCCGCTGCTGCCGCCGCGCACTGACTCTCCCGCTTCTCCTCCTCCTCCCCTTCCTCCTCCTCCTCCTCCTTCTCCTCCTCTTCCTCCTCCTCACTCACTTGGCTGTGGAGTTCGCTTCAGTTCAGACGGCGCTGCCAGCAGCGGCGGCAGCAGCGGCGGCGGCGGCGGCGGCGACGGCAGGGGGAGGGTAGAAAGGAAGGGGAGGGGAGGGGGAGGAGGAAAGGGGGGGGGAGAGAGAGAGAGAGAGAGAGAGAGAGACACTCGAGGGGAGGGGGAGGAAGGGGAGGGGGAACAGCGAGGAGACCCGGACGGGGCGGGGCGGGGCAAAGGGGGGGTTAGGGAGGGGGAGGGGAAAGCAGCCGTTAATCCGAGACTCGGTCGGTGTCTTCCCCACACCCTCACGCACCCGCTCCTCCCTTCCCTCTCGCCCTCCCGCTCACCCCTTTCTGCCCTCTCTATTCCGGGCTTTGAAGCCGTTATCGGCGCCTCCCTCTCCCCTGGGGGATGGGGTGGGGTGGGACGAGGGGGTAGAAAAAGAGGAATTTGGGTTGGGAAGGGAATTGGAGAGAGGGAGGGAGGGAAGGAAGGAAAGAAAGAAGGGGAGAGGGAAGGGCACGCGGGCGCAGCCCCGCCGAGGCCGAGCCTGGGGGTCCGAGCGCGAGGCGCGGAACTCGGGAGGGGGAGGCGGGGTTCCGCAAGCCTCGCTGCCTCCCCCCCTCCTGCACGCGGGGATGGTTGAGAAAGAGTGGGGCGGGGGAGTGAAGATTGGGTTGAAGAGCTGCGTAGTTATGTGCTGTTAAGCGAGGTGTTTCCTAAGAACTGAAGAAAGGTGCCGGGACCGCCTCGGCGGTCCCAGGCTGTCTGTATAGCTATCTGTCGGGGAGTGCCGACGCTCTCCCTCGAGGCCGATGTGGACTGGGCCCTCTCTTGAGCCTGGCATGAATGGCAGAGGGGAATATGTGTAGGTAGGAGCAATAAGCTATGTGTTTTCACGCTGGGCAGAGTGCACGGGGGCTGGGGGGGGTGCGATCTAGTGCAGGCGGTGACATTTGTCAGCATCTCATAGGCTCCTTACATTTATGAGTGACCTTTCTCCACACGGCTTGGCGCCGCGTAAACGCTGCTCCCACGTCTCACAGTTGCCACTCGTCCCAGGCCGCCCGCCGGCCTGCCTCCTAGCCTTTGGCGCGCTCTCTACCTCGCGCGCGCGCGTTAAGCTATTTGTGGACACCCAGGACTTGTGAGCGTAGACCTTTGTGGTCGCGTAGTGTAAGGGAACGTCTCGCGCACTCCGATGGAGGAATTTCCTGCGGAACCCGCCGCGCCAACGTCGTCGCCCCGCCCCCCAGCCTAGCTGAGCGCTTGCGCGAGCTCGCTGGTCGGCGTCCTGTTTTTATTATACTTTAAAAAAAAAAACTCGTTTTTCCAAAAAGAAACACTCCCCTTGCTTTGCTGGGGGCCCGTCGGGGGTGGGCGTCACGTGGTCTGGGCACGTAGCTGTAGGATCCGAAGGCGCGTGCGCAGCAAGGGGCCGAAGGCTACTGAGAAAAGGATTTGGTAGCTGGCTGGTCACGCCCCTTTCCTGGGGTCTTTCTTGGCCCCTCCTACTGTCCGAGGTGGAGAAAGCTGGGGAAGAGTGGGGTGGGGCTCTTTAATTTATGCGCCTGCGTGGGATGAGGTGAGTGGAGTCTGTCTTTGTTAAGGTGGGTCTCTTGGGCAGGTGCTTGTTCCTGGCCGAAGCTCGCGGGGATCGATTTCGTCTCTTGACCGGGGTCGGAGGATAAACGGTTCTGGCAAACCGCCGACTACTTCGGCCCCCACCACATCGGGGCGGGGTTCGTTCGGGCTGACACTCCGCGGGTATGCCCAGCTTTGTCGGGGGACTCTTGGCCGGTGCCCGGCGCAACTTAGACCCTGCCCCGGGCTGCCTCCGAGAGACTGCCCGCACTTAGACTCCGTGCGCCCCGCGGTCTCTCGCTAATTGTCCGGCCCTTTGCTCTTGCTCTGTAACGGGCTGGGAAAGTCAGGCTGCAGTACCCTTTCCCCACCCCCTCACCCCAGTCCCCCCTGGGCTGGGACTCCCCCCCCCCGTGACCTAGATCGAGGAGCTCACTTGTTTCCTCTTCGCATATGTTACTAATGCATTCTACTGTAACTTATTCATCCTCGATGCAAATAAATTCTTTTCCTGTGAGCATTTCCTGGTCTTGGTTTCAGCCTTGGCATTCGCTCCGTTTATGAAGCCCCACCAGTGTTGTTGTTGTTGTTGTTTTATTTTGCTTGCTTAGGGATTTTTTTTTGGTCACTTTCTCCTTCCCATCCCAAAGCAAAAGTGCAAAAAGAATAAAAATGAAATGGCAGAGGAAGGAGTGGGAAGGAATGAAGGTTACTGGTAGACTTGCAGTTTCTACACGTTTGCACACACCCACTAAGCTGAATATAGCATAAGTATAAAATGACAGTAAATAGGCAGACTACATAGGAAGCAATTCTGGACGGAAAAAAAAAAAGATCTTTGTTGCGACTGACATAGTATCATTACTACTTAATGTTATCTTGTCTAGGCATTAAGGAAGTGCTTCTTTAGGTAGGAGATACATATGTCTGCATTTGCCCGTTACTCTGAAAGTCAATAATCTAGCATACAAAAGTATGAGTACAGCAGTTATATAATAAATGGAATGTTATGGCATTGTAAATACAGTGGTTGGAATTTATTGTTTTATAATGGCGTCAGCATTCAGTAATAAAAAGTGCCACTGAGATAATCCAGTAAAGCATGCTAGGGATTTTGAATTGCAAAACAGCATCTATATTTACAAACCTCTCAAAGATAACTGCAATGAACACTGGGCTGTCTGAACTCTTATTACAAAATACCACAGTTTTTGAACATTTTCAAGTGTATTTGAAAAAAAGGACAGAGCAGAGTATAATGTTGAAGTTCTCTTTCTGCTTATAGGTTAGTTATCAGCCTCTTAATCTGAAACTGTGTTTTATTGTAAATTGCTTATAGTGCACATAGTATTTAAAAAGTAAAACAGACTTTAAAATGACCATTCTGGAGTTACATTTAATTTGGATAAATTACTTGGTCGTCTTCTTACAGGGTTGGCATATATTATTTTATATAATATTCATCATGTAACATTTGAAATGTAACATTTATTTCAATTAAATTTGAATATTAAAAGGTACTTTGACATTTAAATTTTGGATAATAGGTAACAGATGAAATGCATTTCAAATTTGTCTATTCTCTCGACTTCTGTTAATGTGTTTTCCCTTAAAAGGTCTGTAATTTTTTTTAAATCAAGATATTTTATTTGTTGCAATCAGCTTGGTAAAGTAGTTAAATTCGATTTTCAAATATTTAATTTTCCCCTAAATTTTAAAGACCTATATTTCTCTTTGGAAGAAAAAAGAATACCACCTGTTTAATGACCCAGTTAAGATTTGGGCCAACTGATCCAGAGTTGAATTTTTTGTTTGTTTTTTTTATTTTGGTGAGGCAATTGGGGTTCAGTGACTTGCCCAAGGTTGAACAGCTAGTTAAAGTGTCAAGTGTCTGAGACTGGATTTGAACTCAAGTCCTCCTGACTCCAAGGCTGAAGCTTTATCCACTGAGCCATCTAGCTGCCTCCAAAAGTTGTAGTTTTTGGTCAAAAAGTTGTGAGTTTAAAAGATAAATAAACCTTCATTTATATTTAGCTTCTATATGCTGATCCTAGTCTAGCAGAATTAGGGTAGGAAGTTAATAATTAGTGATGATAAATTATTTTATCTAGTAACATAAATTATTTTATCTCCTTTCTTAAGATTGAAAACCATTGTGGCTTACCACAGAGTTGGCCTGGGATCCAGGAAGACCTGAGTTCAGTTCCCAGCTCTGACCATAATGGGCAAATCACTCTACCCCCCAAAAAGTTCCTGGCAACTTTTAAGAGTATTAATTGCTGAGAAAGTAACAATCTGCTCTGGTGAGAGTTCCCTCACCGAAAGTTCTCTGTCTAATGAAATTGCAGATCCAGTTCCTATTCTTATCACCATTCATCCTCAAGTACAACCGTTGTAACATCAGAAAAAATATGACCTTTTCAATGCTAGAAATTTAATGTGCTTTCTTTTGTTGTACTCTTTCAGATTTCCAAGTCTAGTTGGTGGGTGGTTGATGTCTCAATGAGAGGTTTTTTAAAGGTGTCTAACTTTAGTTAAAAGTAATTATTAATCTGTTTGGGGAAAAATGACTAAGGGTTAGCATTCACTTAACAAATATTTGTTGAGTACCTATGTATAAAAATTACACCAAAGAGAATGTAAAAATATCAACTCATAGCATGTTGGAACTGGAAAGGACTTAAAGGGATCATCTACCCCAAACCTTTCATTTTGCGGAAGAGGAAATTAAACCCCAGATAGGTGGGATGACTTGCCCCAGGTCCCAGTCAAGTGAGTAGCAGCTGTGGAAATACAAACCAGATTCCAGCTCACTGCTGTTGCAGTTTTACCAGCCTTTTTCCCAGGACCTTGCCAGCTACAGTTTTCTTTAGGACATTTATGAAGTACCTCCAGTTGGTCCTTATACAAGGCACAGCCCATCACTTCTGGACTGTTGCACTTCAACCAGCATAACTTACTACCGTCTGCATGAATAACAACTGAGGATATGACTACAAAGTAATGCTATTGGATTGACATTCTCAAAGGCTACCATACAAGGTAAACTCCAAAAAGACTGGAGCTATTCAGGAGAACTAGACCCCTATTTGAGAGCTGCCTTCAGAAGTAATTTCTGAGTTAGCCAAGAAAGCGTAACCATTACTTTACAGTCTCATTTTGTAATTGAAAACCAATCTTACCTACTTGATGTCTTATGAATTCTGAAATTTGGCACTGAATGACTTTGAATTGTGTAAAAGAAAAAATCCACCTTCAGAGAATGAAGATTTGCCACCATTTAGGACAGGTACTAATCTGCATTTGCATCCAAGTCACTTAGCGCCTGACACATAGTAGGTGTTTAAAGAAATGTTTGTTGCTTGACTGAGGCTATATAAAACTTAGGTCCTGTGGGACCTAAAGATCA